GGAGCCGCGGCTGTGAGGAGCCCCCCGGCCCGGCCGCCTCTCCACCACCCCCCCCCCTCCCCCCCACGTCGCTGGTGGGGAAGCGCCGGGCCGAGGCCGGAGCCGGAGGACATGGACAAACTGACCATCATCTCAGGATGCCTCTTTCTGGCCGCCGACATCTTCGCCATCGCCAGCCTGGCGAACCCGGACTGGATCAACACCGGCGAGTCCGCGGGTGGGTTGAAGAAGGCAGGAAGGGGGAGAAAGGAGAGCCAGCGGCGGGACGGCCAGTGAGGAGGGAGGAGAAGGGCAAGGAGGCGAAAGGGAGAAGGGGAGGCGGCGGGGATTGAGAGCCTGGCTGGGCGCAGGCGGTGGCCGAAGGCTTTGGAGGGGAGTCAGTCGCGCGAGGGACGGCATGGCTCCGCTGGAAGTACAGAGGGCGAAGTAAAGCGGGGGGCGGGGGAGAAGAGAGAGTGATGGCTGGGAATGGAGCAAGGCAAGGGATCCGCTGGAAGGAAGGGGGGGTTTGCAAATCTGTTTTCCCAGAGGGTTAGGTCGGGGCGGCCGTGATGCTGTAGGGGTGGAGGCCACATGCAATGAGAAGAGGTGGTGGTGGAGGTGTTGCAGTTTGGCTTCATTGGGAATCAATAGACCTTTGGGCTTATGCGGCAGGGCCAACGCTGTGTTTGGGAGCAAAGGAGGCACTGGAGCCAAATACAGTCCGGAGCATTTCTAGAGTTGTGGCCACTGTGAAGAATGGGCGAGAAAGGGAAGGCCAGTCGGCAGAGTGGTTGGTGGATACGGTTGGCCTCTCCACACTCAGCTGTTCCAAGTTTCAGTGAAAGATAGTTTTCCCGTTGGACAGTCCTTGCACGTGTAATGATAACTTCCTTCAGGGTTGTTGTGTTCGATGCACTAAACATGGAAAATAGAGATGGGAATCTAACAAATCACTTTGGAGGATCGGCATTTAAACAGTACCTGTAGTAATCTGAGTGCAAGAGTTAATAGGAAATTCCAAGTTTGGGCAGTGATATTTTGCTGAATACGGAGTGCATGGTGCAAACGCTAAGGCAGTGATGCTCAGTCTTTGACTCACCAGGTATTTTGCATTTTAGCTCCTACAAACGTCAACCAGCATAGCCAGTGGTAAGGAATTATGGGAATCAATGTGTAAAATATCTGGACAGCCAAAGATTGACAACCACTGCTTTAGGAAGAGCTGTATTCTTTCTGTGCTGCTTGTGGAATCCCCTGAAGTATATGGCTTGCCACTGTAGGAAGTAATGGCATACTGAACAATGTTATCCTTTATCCTTTTCTAAATTGCTGGTCTTGTGTTGGAATGCAGCTCTGATGATGTCTGCTGACTTTGCTTTCTGGGGATGATGGAAGTTATGTCTCAAGGGCACTGTGTTAGATTATGCAAACATAATATTTGAGAACAAAGGGAAGAACTACAGACTCTTATCTTTTCCCCCATCTTACAGAACTGGTGGGAAATCAGTGGCCTTCAAATTGTGTTCACATCCAGCTTCCAGTCAGCATTGTTGATCAGGCATAATGGGAGTAGTAGTTCAGCAAAGTTTAAAGTGCCACAGGTTCTCCCTAACAACACTGGAGTAGTTTACTGGAAGGCTATTGTAGCAGAAGAATATCAGCAATGGACAAGATTTAAAGTTTGTGGGATCCACTGTGTTTCCCACTAGAACTGCAAGGCCTGTCAAGTGGAACTAGATGGTAGATAATGGCTCAGGAAGGCATGCATAGAAAGAACAAGTTGCTTCTGAGCATAGGCTGAGTTCAGAAATTTGTACAGTATCGGTTACCAGCAGTCAAGCTGAGAGGAAGTTGCTTCTGAGCATAGGCTGAGTTCAGTAATTTGTATTGGTTACCAGCAGTCAAGCTGAGAGAGAAACTTCCTCAAATTTTCTCAATTTCAGAAGCCTTTTGTCTTTATGATTGTTAAATCTTAAGGAATTAGAAATCCTTGGAATTAGAAATGTTGATCTTTTCTGCAAATTGCCCAAAGATCTATGAGTACTTTATTTATTTATTTATTTATTTAATTTATACCCCGCCTATCTGGCCCACCGGACCACTCTTTCAGTCTGCTTAGGGCCCAACTCTCATATCCTTGCAAGCCTGTGAAGTAATCATAGGTGAAGGGAGCTGACGTATTGGAGGATTTTAGAAGGGGGCTCATCTTCACTTAAGAACATCTGTATTTGTTGCGTGAAGTGATATCATTATTGTGGCTTCTGCTTCATCTTTGGAATTCAGAGCACTGGAAACCCTGACTGAAACTTTCAGAGAGAAGGGATAAGAGGGTTCCCTAGTCTAATCCACTGTCTAAAGATGAAGCCATCCCGATTACCGCTTTCCGTGGCAATTCATTCAAGCAGTATATCAACTCTATTCAGCTGCACCTGAGAACTGTATGCATTGCAGATGGCATTGGGTGAGTTTTCTGTACGAGGAGAAAACCACTATTTTTTTCTTAGATATTAATGGGAAGAATTGTCTGATATTGTACTTGAGAAATACACATGCAGGGCTAGCATCACATCTCTTGAAGGCAAATCAGGAAACAAAATGATCCTCACATAAAGAGGCGGACAGATAAGTTGGACAAGGCAAAGGATGGGTGACTTCTACATTAAATATAATGGTGAGTAATAAAAGAGAAATGGTTGTGTGAATCTTGGCATAATCAGTCCAGAGAATGGTACAGTACTGGGGCGTATCCATGCAAATACATGTGTGGAGTAATTGAACAGTAGGACCACAGAGTGTTGGCCTGACTTTTTGCTTTGGAGGTGGAGGGGGTAACAGAACTTTTTAAAAGGGGGTTTTCAAGCCAGATATACATAAATTGAAGCTGCTTGAACCACTGGCCTTTCCTCCCCATTTCTGCTTCCTTTATCTTTCCCAAAGGCCCTTCTTTTTGATCTTTTGTGTGGTGTTCCTGGGGGCAGTGGAACTGAAGGTGGCAATTACAGAGTCAATTTGGGGGGTGGGTGTCCAAAACTGTTGGGCATGGGCTAAAAGGGCATGGCGGAGGGTGAACTTTGGTGGAAAACCTTTGGCTTTCTAGATATTTTTGGATCTCGACTTTCAGAAGCTGCAGTCAGCATGGTCAATGGTAAGGAATTGTGGGAGTTGTAGTCTCTGAAAGGCTGAAGACACCCCAGTCCTGGGACAGTGAAATCTGGAATTTGAACTCTCTACATCCCTGAATTAGCTGTCAGGCTAGGAACTGTGTATATGTCATTAGGATGACCAGCATGAAAGGGCAGTAAATACTTGTTAAAAGACAATTGGAATATTATACTTGGAGGGACCTTTTGGATGTCATTGTTTCAGAGAGTCATTGCAAATTGGAATTGTTTGATGGCCCATTACAACACTGGCTGAAAGGCTAGGGTAAATGGGCTAATGAGAGAAATCGAACAACATTGGTAACCTTCAGTTAGTCAACACATGAGGTGTCTTTGTGTATTTGAACATAAACCGAAGAATGAAGAGTGATTCTGCCAGTGCTTATTTCATTCACTGTACAGTAGCTGTAGTGGAAAAAGCTATTGGGAGAATTGATTTTTTCCCTCTTGGCATGATGAATCTGAACTGGATTATGTTTGCTTTATAAATGTGATAAAGAGCACCAGCCCTTTGAGAGACTATGCTGGGATGTCAGCACGGGTTCGGTTGATGCTGATGTTTTTGTTTTTTCTGATGCAGTTGTAATTGGTAACCATTTTGTGTGTGGGTGCGTTTGCCTGAAATAAGGATTAAATTGCACTGGAAGAGGGTACATCAACTAGAATAGTTTTAACTGATGCTATAGAGTTCACTCTGTTGCCATGCAGTGACATTTTCCTTGTACTACAGACTGGATGTATGTAAAATTTAAATAAAATGAAAATAAATTAAAATGCTTACTTTTTTTACCAGAAGCAGGTTACTTCAATAGCATTATCTTGGCCACCTACTAGATCTTCTTTTATATAAATGGTAGGGCATAAATTACGTACATGTAAGTGTTGCATTTATTGAATTTCTCTACATTCATAGAGAATTTATCCTATATCTAAGTACCTTGATTTTATTTATTTATTGTTTGATCCTCCTACTCCTTTTCAAATGTATTAAGTGACTTCCAGATAGTCCAGCCAGAATCGTGTCTTCAGCATTTATCCATTTGACAAGGTGTGCTGTTTTTCCTCTCTATAGGTTTAGCCTAGCCTGTTCTGGTTTAATTCTCAGAGTTTTAGCCATCATCTGGAAATTCGGTGTTTATGAAGTAAATGAGTTTGGTACTGTATTATCTTATGTTGTTCGTTATTTGCTGGCACCTCTCGGCATACGTCCAGAGGGGCAATGCCAGCCAGATTATCTACTTTTTCATTGTGCATAGGTTTTAGACAGCCAGTCTAAAGATTCATTAGGAGCTACATCCACTTTTTGACATGTGCTGATTTATACCATACAGTGCTAGCATATTCTGTTGTGGAGCAATACAGAGACAAAGCTGATGTGCTTATTGTTTGTGGGTGTGCATCCTAGTCTGACCCAACCAATTTCCTAAGTAAGTTATTTCTGGCAGCAACTTTTTATTTGATGTTTAGACAGGTTTTTTTTGTAGCTCAGGGTTTGATCTAGAGCGACACCCAAATATCCTGTGGTAGGACAGTTGGAACATTTTGCCTTCCCAGCTAAGAGGTTTCTGTGATTTTCTGTTCCTTAAATGGAAGGCACAAACTTGTATTTTAAACAGTTTGATTTCAGCTAGTTGTTTTTGTATTATACAGAAAGATCTTATAGATCTTATAATGCAGAGGTTAGATAGAGCTCACTCAGTGGACTCAAAATCTTCCCCCTGGCAAGAACATCAGCACAGATCAGAAGTATGGGAATGTTGACTGATTATTTGTGTAAATATTAAAAAGTAATGGTGTCAGGATTATTTGTGTAAATGTTAAAAAATAATGGTGCCAGGACGCTATCCTGTGGAAGACTCTTCCTTTGATTTCTCCATCAACTGTGCCTCCCTTGATATTCAACAAAAAAATCTTCTGTTTCTGTTAGCTTGTGATCTTGAGTAAGGAAGTAGAACTATTTATTTTAGTCTATGATCTTTAGTAAGGAGGTAGAACTTTTTAAGCAGCAATTGACAGTGGGTACTATCATATGCTAGGAACGTGGTAGCGCTGCAGGCTAAACCGCAGAAGCCTG